GTCGTTAGTGGTCTCTCCACCGTGTGCCTTTTTCTGTCTCATATTTCTTGTTATTTTCGGCCTGGTACCTTTTTGTCCTCGCTCTTTTTATTTCATTTTCTCTTTCATTACTGCTTCCTTTTATTTGCTTCTCTTTTCTCTTTCTCTTCTTCTCTCTTTTTCTGTGCCAGATGGCCTTGTCTCTGCTTGCGTTGTCAAGTACCAAGATTGAACCAAGGGGGTGTACCTCATTCTCTGCGGCCCATGATGGTGACTCCTAGTCTCAGTTGTTACCTCGCATAGCGCGCAGAGGGAGTGGAGGACTCCAGAATATCTGTCGTTGATTTCTATTGACTTGCGGACCCCTCGAGGCCATTTTATTTGAGTGTACCTTTTTAGGGTAAGTTAGCCTGCGACCATGGGAATCGACCGCGTCAAGTGTTGTATCAGTACGGACATACGAAGGTACTGGGTAGAGAGAGATCGGAACGGTTTTTAATGTGAAGACAACAACAACAACAACAAAAACAACAACAACTCGGACCGACACACAACCCTTCCCCGCCGCTCACCGCGCCCAGCAATCTATCCGCCGCGCTGAACCCCTCTGCTCCGGGGACACCCTCCTTCCCCCCCGCCTCCTCGACGCCTTCCAACAAATCGTCCTCCGAAGGTCCGTCATCATCGGCGCCGCCGCCAACGTCTCCCCGGCGACCGATCAACTTCCCGAACTGCTTGGCGACGGGACCGCTCTGGAAGGCCCTGAGCATGGTCTTTCCGGCCTCCACGACCTGGTGGGCGTCTACCAGATCCTGCTCGAGTCGTTTCACGTCTTGCCTTCGGTCCGACAGCTCCGCGGCCTCGGCGACGCGCTCCTCTTCCACGCTTCGGAGCCTGTCGGGCACACGTAACACGTGAGCTGCTGTCGATGCTGCGATGTGAGGGGAGCACTCCTCAAGGAAACGGAAGGTGCCGCCTTGAGGGGACGTTGGAAGCCGATGGCGTTCCACTCCCAATCATTTTCACGTGAAAGGGATGGCACAAGCTGATGGCGTTCTAATCCCAATTACTTCGAGTGAAAGGATCGTACAAGCTAAATAGCATTTGACTCTACCGCGATGGATGACATACTTGATATCTGTTCTTCGGCCATAACCAACAACTCACAGTTTTTTGTCTCTGTCTCATCTTTCGCGTGAAGCGGTGCTTTGGCCGATTGGCAGCGTAAATCGACTACAGGAAAAACACACCACTCAACCTCAAATCGCAACATCCGTGTTATACTCCTACATGTACCTTTTCGCGTTTGGGATGATTTTCACATTTTTCTGGCTTCTTTCTACGCGCTCTTCGACGTTTCAAAGCGTGCGTCCGTTGTGGGATAGTTGGCCTGTCATAACGGAAGTCACGTCCGTTGGACCTGCACGAGTGCTAGAAGCTACCGAGCCGGGACCGGAAAGCTATATGCATATGTGAAGTTTATGTGAAGACAACAACAACAATAACAACAAGTCTCGATGCTAAACAGTCGACCCCGCTTTGAGGACGCTCGCGTTAAGAAAACTCCCCGCTTTAAGGAAAATTGTTTTGCTCAGCACCAGGGGACCCGACCGAGTATACGATAATGGGGTACCCCATTGTTCTGCCGCGTACCCCCTCTTTTGTGTCCTGCGGACCTGCGGGCCGCTCTTTGCACGACCCACGCACCACAGTGAGTGCACAAGTAGCGACGCACAGACAGCAGAAGTAGCGAGCGGTCTGCTGCTGCAGCTGTAACAGGGTGTTGGTATGGATAGATTCCTCCCATCTACCGGCGGTCCATCTGATGCCGCCAAAAAAAGAGTCGTGCATAACCTCGTCCCTCACCGAGGGCGAGGTTATCTCTCGCTCGGAGGACGTTCGATCCTACAGATAGCGCCCGCAGTTACGAAACGTCAAAATCGGTTCGAGCCTCACCAATCTCTTCTTTGGGGTCGACGTACCGGCCCAAGTCATCCATTTCGTAAATGGCATTTCTTCTTCCTTTGGACTGTCGCATCCTCCCGATTCTCTTATTCCTTAGACTACAACAAGTACTTCGTATTTTCTTTTTTCTGTCTTTTGATCTCTGAGGACAATCCACATCATCAAGCCCTCAAGAGAGGTGGTGGAGAGTGCCATCAAACCCGTACAACAGCGGAGAGCATACGGTTGTCCGCGATGTGTGGCGGTACTACCATACAGCACTCACTGTGAACAGCAGAGGCGCGCGCGCGGGGGGGGGGGGCTCCTCTGCCCCTTGCAAAAAAAAATGTGCTTCTGTTCAGCTTCGAAGGGGGGTGGGAGCACCGCAGAGTTCTGATGTCATGGGGGTATCGCACCATCATGTTTCTTATTGTGGCGTTTCTCACGTTCGTTGTGGCCGAGATTGAGCTATGTTTCTTAGCCCTTTTTTCTTATTTTTCGTACAAAGTTGAGCCTTTTTCTTACCAGAATTTTCCTTAACTGCGGGCGCTATCTGTATTTGTACGCGAAGGGAAGGAAGGGGTGGCGAGTACCGTGCGACGCAGTACCTTCTTTCGAAGACCGTTCATTCGTTTATCCATGAAACTCAACGGAGCCGTAGAGCCAAGCCGCGAGGGGAGGTTCAGGGAACTCTTCGTGATATATATGTGGAAGGAAAAGCCATCAGGGTAGCTTTTGGTCTCCGCCGGGACAGTGAAATGTACTGGTGTTCCTCGCTGCGACGCTGGAATACGCTCGTTTTTTTTTTGTTTCACAAGACTGAGATACATATATGTCTACTTGGACTTTCCTCCTCCTTCCGCTCCCGGCTATGCAGTACATTAGTTGGCCAAGTACAAACTGGTGTGCTGTCGTTGTTTTCAACACGTCCCTGAATGCTGTACAACTCATTTCAAGTATTGTAAATATAAATATGTTCGACGTCAACAAACGGTTGCCAGTGGTCTCGGCGATGCTAACAGTTTGTACCATCCCCTTCCTTGGCAAAAGACGCGTAGTTTGAGGTATAGCATGCCTCCATTGGCTCCGGGGATGGTGAGCTATCGTCCCCTGAATTTTAAGGGCGCGACCCCGCTTTCGTTTTTTTTCGGGAAAAACTATGAGCGTCCTAACAGCGGTGTCGACTGTACACGTAACTTTCACCTGTCCTCAACAGCGACGACTAACTCTCTATACATTACAATAGCCTTAACCCTCACCTCTCCTCCGCCTGCCTCGTCCTCTCCCTCAACCTCTCGAGCTCGTTCTTCAGCCGCCGGTTGTACGAGATCAACCATGCGTCAACCCCGCCGTCCCCCCCCCCCCGCCGCCTAGACTCCGCCTCCCCCACCACAGCACCGTCAACCTTCCCGCTCACACCCTCGGACTCGATCGCTCCGTCGCATTTGCCTCCAACACCGCTTCCCTCGCCCTCAGCAACACTGCCATATTGGGACCCTTCTTCCACACCTCCCTCTGCAGCTGCTGGTGACGGCGAGAGGGGGTGGGTGCGTTCTCCTCCAGCGGCCACCTCGCCGCCGGTGCTGACAGGGCCCTTCGTCGACCCTACCCATTCTCCCTCGTCGCCTTCGTCCACGTCGGCGTCTCCCCAAATTCCTTCCAAGATTCGAATCTTCTCTCGCATGCCTTTCACCTGCTCACGGACGGCACAGGACAAAAAAAATGCACATGGTATCGGCACGTCTTGTCGATTTGTACGGTGTTGACTCTGGTCTTGTTGTACGGCAGAACAGACCCGCCGAGGGTCCAAACACACCACGCAGTATGAATAGAGACGGGGGCGGGGCGGGCGTGCTCATGTTTTGCATGCCCTCGCGGCTAAACCATTGACAACTCGTCCTCGAAAGGAAGAAGCACCCTACGGTCACCAATGGGCGATCGCTACTTCCTACTTTGCCAAAGGTGCTCAAAAATGTCTTCCCTACCCCATCTATCCTCTTGATGTCACTTCCCGCGGTTTCAACCCACTTCCTATAGCTACCGCCTTTGCATTCTACAAGTACGTAGCATGTAGTGATGATCGTTCCCACCTCAGCTGCATCTGCTCCCGTCTCCAGCTGCTGCCGTAAGCGAGCCGCCTCTGCCTCCACCTCCCGGACGCGGACCTCCGAAGATCGTTCCACGCTCTTGGCGCGCGCTTCGGCCTCGGCGCACCCCACGACGGCTGCCCTCTCGCTTTGCACGGCCTCCCTGGAGCGCGCGACCAGACCCTCCCGCTCTGCCTCTAGCAAAGCCACCTGCAAGACAACAAGGGAATTCGACCAAGAACCCGGAGCTCAGCAAAGGCGACACGTGCACTTCCTGGGAAAGTGTGTAAAAGGTTGAGGACTAGTCTAGACCATGTAGTTCAATGTAACACACCGTGGGTGGCAAATTCCCGATTTCCCCCCCAACAAACAGGAAGGAGGTGGAAGGTGAAGAGGGACAGCAGCGCTCATCCGGCCAATCAGCGGACGTCCTCTCTTCTTCCCACGATAGTTACAAGGGGTGGAGGGAGAAGCCGAGCAGCACTTTTCCATGTGTGACAACGGGCTGGGCAGGACGGAGGACAGAGGAAGAGGAAGCGAGACTGGATCTCCCTTCGCCTTTGAAAACTGAAACGCCGACAACCAACATGCAAAACCCACTCGCCTTCTCTCGCGAAGCTCGCAGCTGCCCCCTTAGATCCGCCGCCTCCTCCTCCAAACGTCCTGCTCGTCCAGCCTCCTCTTCCACCATCGCGGCTCGGGCCTCTAGTCGCTCAACTTCTTGCTGAAGAACCTGATGACACATGCCCACCACCAGATGGCTCAATCAGACGTGTGTGAGCGAGCCGACTAGGGGTAGGGGATCGCGGGGAGCAACCTAATTTACTCTTGTTTTCCACTGTTTGCTCCTGTTTGTTCTCGTGAATACTCGATGGTAACTTCAATGAGAAACATGATTATGAATGCCCGTCAAGGACGACGTACTGATAGCAGAGAAACACGTTTAAGTCCGATCTACCATGTACTATGTATTGATCGTGTGGGCAAGCCTTGTCGTAGCCCTTCCTATACTCCATGTTTAGCACAGGGTCCTTCAATTCTTCCGTCTACTGGTCCATCAATGTTGGTCGCGTTTCTAGCTTGCTACGACTGCACTGTACAGTAGCGGCCCCGGTATAATGCCGGTCGATTAACCGTCTGGCACAGACAGATGGAGTACTCAGTGGTTTCATACTCTGAATAACTAAGGTTGCCCGCTACAATGCCGGTAAAATTGAGCACCGGCATCATCCCGAGACCGCTGCTGCTATACGACGACCACTACCGCTCTACCTGCTGTTGCGCTTGGGCCGCCGCTCTCTCGTGCTCCGCCTGTCCCTGAGCTAGCAGCAGCTCCTCCTGGACGGCGTCTTGGAGCACCTTTTTTATTTCCATTCGGCAGGGCAATCATGTCAGCATCAAGGTCTTTTTGCTTCAAGCGGAATTGAGATGATGAACCGAGACCAGTGCCAAAGGCAGCAAAGCTTCGAATATAACATAGAACATGGGACTTGGTTTTTTCCGCCGTAGAGTAGACCCACAGCAGTGCACGCGTTGACGACATGTACAGTACATGTGCGTTGAAACAAGCTGCTGTCGTCTGTCGACAAGCCGCTTCCCCCTTCTCTTCGCGATAGCCCGCGAGCCAGCATTGCAGGAACAAATATAAGCGCCGACAGCCACCGACCACTACAGACTGACTTGGCGTTTCCTCCGGTGCCACTACTACAGTAGGGACATGAACCGTCACTAAATAACCCGCAATGCTACTGTATCCACCGCCGGGATGCAAGACAGATAGTTCGATAACATGCAACGCGCCGATAGGAGGACGCGTTCATCGGTTCCATCATAGCGTCCACGTGGCTCTCGGACTTGATACCATTGCGTAGCACACATGCCATACCTGCAGGCGCGTCTGCGCTGTATCCGCTTGGTCTGCCGCTATCTCGGCCCTGATAACACGCCGCTCCTCCTCCAACTCCTGCGGGGGGGGGGGGGGGGGGGGGG